GAGTGGATTGTAATATTGGGAAAGTCAGGGCCTCGAGGGGATGCAGGACCAAAAGGACGAAACGTTGGAAAGACCATCTAATCAGTCGTGTGGGAGACCGCAAACTGGGGAAGCCCATGCAAGTTAAGATTTACACTTGTGGAGTTAAACCCTCAATTTGTTACGGCGAGGAGATCCAGGGACATTCACCCCAGGAGCTCAGGAAGTGGCGCGTTCAGACGGCAAGGCTTATTGGTGTTTGGTCGTCTGGCGCCGACATCGAGATTTGCTGGCTGTTCAAGCCGCTAGCTGACCCGTTGCACCACGCCAGTGCGACCCTCAGGAGATACTGCCGATAGTGGTGGTTAACGACCGTACCCGCATCAGGACCCTAGACACCCTGAGCCCGAAGGAACTTCGCTTCTCCTTCGAGTACGCCCAGAAGTTTGTTGGGGATATTCCCCCGAACAAAGGATGGGCATTCAGGGTCAGGAGTCCTATGATTTTTCTATATCTTCTTTTTTTGGGGGGGGGCAGGGCAGAGCAGGCTGGATGGAGAACCCAAGGACCTGCCAAGCTGATCACCAGTCAAGAGCTCGAGCTGAACATTACGGAGTCGTCGGCAGCCCTCATCGCCAAGCTGTTCACATCAGGTTGAACAAGCAAGTTGTTACGACGAGCTGTTCACAGGAAACTGCAGTATCCCGAGGACCCCGATGGCGACATCCACCCCAGGGCCAAAGAGATTCGGGAGCGAGGCCTTTTGGGCTTCCCTTTCAGCAAGGTTTGCAACAGTATCAAATTGAGTCTGGGGGACAAGAGGATACTCCAGAATTTAATATGTGGAACGACACCGACGAGCCACCTATTCTGGAAGCGAGGCTACCAGGTGAAGCCTGCATGCCAATTTTGTTGGCTTCGCGACACCATTTACCATTGGCAGTGGCACTGCCCGCGCTGGAAGTCAGCTAGGAGCAGTATTGACCAGGCTATCATGGATGCTGCCAGGGCGTCAAACGGCATATATCCCCTCTATACCATGCTCCGGATTCCCGTGCCTGATATTAGCAAGCAGCCGTCTGACGAAGATATTGTCCAGTGCGTCGACAGGGTGGGTGAAATTGACGAGTTCGATTTCACGTGGGCGCCACCTCGCATGCCGGCAATGGCGGGGGGGGCAGCGGCGGCGCAGTGTCTTTCCCCTCCCCGTCTCGAGGGGCGACCCCGCGGTTCGGGCTGCCCTGCGGCGAGTCCGCCGTTTTCAACTTTCGCGCGATTGCTGCCGGGGGCGAGCTGAGCGCGGGCACCTCGTTGCAGTGGGGTCATGGCTCCTTCTCGCCGTCGAAGCCATGAACTGGTTGTATTCCGAATGCGGGTGGCTGTCTTGATTGTTGCGGTGGGGGGCCAATTCCTGCCCGGCGCGCGTCCTTGAACTCGCAGGGGGGGCGCGAGGCCCTGGTCTGGGCGAGGAGAACGGCGAGGTAGTCGTCGCCCCCGCCGCCAGCTTTGGCGCCATATTGGCGTGGAAGCGCCGCTCCAACAACGGGGGGGGTGTCCTTGCCGTGCGCCGCGCGGCGCGGACAGCCGGGCGCAGCGCGCTGCCTGCGCGCCCGCGTGCCCGCGTGCCGCGATCGTCCGCGAGTTCCTGAGCCGAGAGAAGAGTTTGCGAGGAGATCGACGACGGTCGCGTTGCCTGGGTTGGGGGCGGGTCGAGAAGGGCGGCGTGCCCATCGCCCCGGCTAAGCGGGTGCAGCGGCTCATCAACATGGCGCCGAGCAGCCGCTTGCAGCGCCCCGTCGACAGGGGCGCCGGGCTGCTCCCAGTCGGTTGCGAGCACCGCGTCGCCATCCTCCAGGGCGGCGAGACTCTATGGAGTTGAGGCGGTATTAGTAGAGGCTTCCGCGTTTTCATGCTGCCCCCATGTTGGCGCCCATGAGTGGCACTCTCGGCCCCTGTTGACCCTGCCGCTCTGAGTCGGGCCAGTGGGCCCTCCGTATGGTTGGCGGTCGCAGTGGCGCCCGTGGGGCGGTTGTCCGCTGTCGACATCGCGCAGCGATCCTCGCGGCAAATCTCGCTTCGAGGTGCCCCTGGGCATGCGTCGCCGTCCGTGTCGGCGGAGCTGCGGAGGGGCGCCGCCATCCTGCTCCAGCTCCGCCACCTACCGTGGGGCTGGTGGGAGGTCTGCGTGGGCAATGTGGACTTTGTGGAGGTAGTGTCGATTGCTGACGTGCGCCAGCTCATCGGCCAGGTGTCGGTGGTGCAGCTGGCGGCCCGAGCCTCCCCGGAGAAGCGCGGCACCGGGTGAAACGAGACAGAGGCGGTCGAGCGCTCCGCGCACGCGGTGAGCATTGGGTGCGGCGTCGACGGAACTCGATAGCGGGTGTCCCCGGCCCTCCCGAAGCTGGCCCAGCACTTGGCGCTCGCAGCCTGGGTCTTGACTTTTCGCGACTGTCGGGCCCTGTGGGTTGCGGTGGCAGCCGGCCGGTGGTGCTTCAACTTCGGCCACCGCCGCGCCGCCTTCGGCGTCTTTGACTTCATCTGGAAGGAGATCGGCTGGCGGCAGGGCTCGCATCCGATCTCTAAGAAGGTCGGCGACGAGTGTCGCATGGCCTGCTCAATCACCCCGCTGCTGAACGCGAACCTCGTGGCGCAGCTCCGCCCGCGGCCTGTTGCCGCAGACGCCTCCCGGCACGGGGGCGGCACCTGCGCGGCCGTTGGGCTCGCGGGCGTCGGCTGGGAAGCCGCGGCGGCGGAGGTGGGCCGCCGTGGCTCGGGCGCCCCGCAGAGGCTCGTTGTTTTCGAGTTATTTGGCGGCGTCGGCGGCTGGGGGCAGGCGTGCGACCGCGTCGATCAGGCGGCTCGCGCGGTCTCGCGGGCGGCGTGGGCTGGTGGCGTCGAGTGGCCGGACGTCGCGCAGGTGGCCTTCGAGATGGTCGACAGTCGTCTTCGCGCCGGCTGAACACCCTTGTAAAACGCATTCATGCGCGGTGCGTGGCCGGTAATGTCTACCATTTCTACGGCCGCGTCGCTAGCGAGACCAACCCGGCCGACGCCCCCTCGCGGAGGCGTGGGCGCGTGGCGTCTGGCTTGTTGCCCGGCCCCAGCAGGCGGGCTCCGCCCTCTCGGCCTATTGAGGCCGCCCCAAATTGAGATGGGCGTGGAGCTCTGGCCGCGGTCGTGGCAGTTTCCAAGTTTACGAAATACCGCTTGAAGTGAGTCCTGCTAGCCGCGGGGGGGAAATTCGTGCCTGGGCCCAGCACGCCGTGGGCAGCCTTGCCGATTGCGTGGTCTCCCCGCCGACCCTTGCTCGCTATGCAGCGCACCTCGCTGCCTTTCTGTCTTGGCGAGGGTCCGCGGGGGTGGTTCTCGAGGAGATTGTGATGGAATGCATCAAAATGCTGCTGTCCGGAGGGGGGCCGGAAAAATTACGTTTCCGACCTTGTGGCGGCGCTTCTGCATGTTGGGCCGCGGTTCCGTCGCCATCTCGACGGGGCTGGCGCCTGCTCGGGCAGAAGCCAAGCCCCCAGCCGGCGCGCCTCCTCTGTCCGAGCTAGTGGCCATGGGGCTCGCTGGCTACGTGGCGGTGTGCTATGGCTCGCAGGCTACCATTTTTAACTCCCATTCGGCGAAATGTTCAAGTTGCGTGCACGGGTCATGGCGTTCTCCGCTGATCGAGCCACTGCCGCGTTGAGCTTAGGATTCGCGAAGACCGGCAGGCGGCAGGAAGCGCCGTGTGGAGTCCGTCGCGGTGTCGGATGCAGTGGTCGTGCGAGCGCTGTGGCAGCTCGCCCAGCAACGCCGACCTTTCGTGCCGCTCGCTCGTCTTTCGGGTCACGGGGCCGTGTTCGAGCAGGCCGTCGGGAGGTCGGGATCGGGGGTCATGTGTTCGGTCTCCATTCAATCGGGAGGGGTTGGGCCACCTGTGATTTGAGCTACATTGGATCTTCGGACAAGTGTATCGTGCGCGGCCGCTGAAGCAATGGCCGCGCTGCCCGTGTTTGAACGGCGGAGGGGCTGGTGATGTTGGGTGAACGGCTCCTATCGTCAGCTTCCCGGGATGCCGTGTCAACGACTGCCGCGTTTGTGCAGCCGGGCTAGTGGGCTTTGGGGGGCCGCGCGCTGGAGGCAAGTGGTTTTCCCTGCCGCGGAGGGGCCTTATTCATAGGGGTGGTGGGGCCCGCGCCTAATTCCTGTGCGCGCCGCTCGCCTTCGGTGATATTGTATGACCATCCGGAAGAGGCGCCGTGCGACTTGCGATATCCATGCGTAATGGCCTCAGGAAAATAGGTGGGGAGGGGAAGAGGGGGTCTGGGTGGCCGCCGCGGCGCGGTAGTTGCTTGGCTCGCCGGCCCGCTCGCCCCCCCGCTCGCCCATTTCCCGGTTTCTTTTCTGAGTTTTGGGCTGCGCCCGAATTGTCGGGGGCCGCGCGCCGGAGGCGGGTGAATTTCTCTGCCGCGCAGGGCCTCCGTCCAGCATGGTAGTGGGCCACGCGTTTGAATCTCGCGCGCGTTGCTCGCCTCCGGCTGACAATGCTGTCGGGCCACCGGGAGAAAGCGCTGCGTGATTTGCTGCATCTATGAGTGTGGGGCAGTCCCCGAGCGCGCCCAGTAAGAATATTGACGCGGGGGTATTCGAAGCGGGCGGCCAGGCGCGGGCGCCGGCGCGCGGACCATGCGTGGGAAGGGGGCCATTCACGAAAACGTGAGCTCAGCGAGGTCCCGCGGTCTTGCAGACGCGGGCGGAATTCGCGTGCGTAATCATATTGCAAGCTCTGGTCCCACTTGTGTCTTACTTTTTTTCTTCTGCAGCTTCTTCCAGCGCCGGTGAATCTCGGATTTTTTAACGGCGTCGTCAGCGCTGTGTCCATGATATTTCAGCCGCAGAGGTCCCGTTGTGGTTCCGGTTTTGGGCGCGGCGCGTGAGATCAATCGATCAGTTCGGGTGCGAGGGCAGCTTTTCACGGTGGGGGAAGAATCTGTGCGACCAGGGAAGTGGTCGTGCGAGTTCCATCGCGACGTGGCACACATTGCCAGGAACTCGGATGTCGACCCCGTTTCCCGCTTCAATCGACCAAGTGGCCCTTCTGAAGGGTACAAAAGCGGCGCCCAGCACATGATCTCTGACAACTAGTCTCGAGCACTGAGAGGTCGACGCGGGTGGACCTTTTCGTTTCATCTGTGGGTGAGCAGACCACCATGGCCACCATATCCTCGAAGTTTATCGATCAAGGCATTACATCGGACATATATGCGGATTCAAAATATCTTTGGACGGGCCACTGTCCCATAACACATGACATAACAATGCCTGTTGGATTTCGGCTCTCGGTCAGAACCTGGGAATGATGTCGAGAGGCAGCTCTGTTGCAAGGGGCGCTTTCACCCCTGACATTTGCAACGTGTCGCCAGCCGTGGCCTAGCCTCTTGCAGCGATCTCGTACTTTCGCAAGACCTTCAACCGTTCAATCTCGACCGTTCGATAGTTCTCGAGTGTGTGCCTGCTTCAAACCGAGCCCCGAACTCATCAGTTTTGCCAGCATGCCCAGGTGGGTAGAGAACGCTCCGCCATTAGGTTCTGCAGCGCTAGGCGACGACTCATCGCGGGTATGCGGGAAAAGTGTGCTACTCGAGTTCATGCAGTGACACGCTTAGTGAGTGAATGGCCGTTCTGCTTGCCGGACGTTCCGCTGCTATCTCGCGCGGCCCCCTGTTCGTTTGGTGGACCGGTTGATCAATCGTTGTCCAGACCACTGGTGCCCCTGATGTTGAGACATTTACTTGCTCAGGCTGTTGTGCATGTTCTCCTGGTTTCCCATGGACAAAGTACGACACGACAGATCCAGGGCTCCACTCTGAGACCTTTTTCCGTGTCCGTGGACTTTTTCTCTGGGGGCAGCGCCCGTTCTTTCCCCAGCAAACTTGGCCAGAGTGGCGCCAGCCCGGTGGGCTCTCTGCTGCTTCCGTTTCGTCGCTCCCTCTGTTTTCTCCGCCTCCTCTATTTTGGCGGCCTCGGAGGCCATCCTGGCCACATTGGGGCGCTCGGGGCCAGTTCGTGGCGCGCCTATTTGGGGCGTAAATCGCTGATGACACACACCTGTTGTTGTTCATATGTTCGCGACGTCTGGGGAAATCACGCGACGATTGCCAGAAGCGCCCTGAAGTGCCACCAGAAGCGCCAATAATCGCACATAACTCTGGAGTCTGCGACCTCTGTATGCAAACGGGACCTGGGGACTCTTTTCAGTGCCTACAGCACTCTGGCGGACTCAGGATGGGGGCGCTGGGTGGGAGGGGAGGATCAGGATGAAGAGGAGATTGACGAGAGAGGGGAGTCTGAGTACGGCAGAAGGAGCACAGAGAAATAATGAGGAATGCTTGGGAATCAACGCAGGGATATTGATGATAATGGTGATGATGCTGATGCTGATGTTGATGATGATGATGCTTATGCTGATGCTGCTGTTGCTAATGATGATCGTAATGCTGATGATACTGACGGTGATGATGAGGATGACGGTGACGATGACGACGGTGATGACGATGAGGATGACGGTTATGTTGATGATGATGATGATGATGATGATGATGATGATGATGATGATGATGATGATGATGATTATGATGGTAATGTGGAGGGTTACACGAATGGTGATGATTATGATGATGGTGATGGTGTTGGTGATGCTGATGCAGATGATGGTGGTGGTGGTGATGGTGATGGTATTGGTGAATATGTCAACTACGATAATGATGATGACGATAGTGATGATGTCCATCATGATAATGATGATGATGCCAAGTACGATGCTCATGACGATGCTGATGATTGCGGTTGTGGTCGGTGTTTCTGATGATGAGGAGGCGGATCGTGATGATGACGCTGATGATGTAAGGGGTTGCGGATGAGGATGGCGGTGATGATAATTATGCCGATGCTGCTTTTGATGATGGTGCTGCTGATCGTGTTGATGCTGATTCTGATTATGATGACGACGATGACGATGACGATGTTGGTTATTTTTCTAATGATTGTGATACTGTCATGAAGGTTGATGTTGGTGACGATGACGATGATGATGATGATGATGATGATGATGATGATGATGATGATGATGATGATGATGATGATGATGATGATGATTATGGCACTCATGATGCTGGTGGTGATGATGATGCTGATGATAATGATGATGATGATGATGATGATGATGATGATGATGATGATGATAATGATAATTACGACGACGATGCGGATTCTGACGATGAGGAGGACGACGATGTTGATGATGATGATGATGATGATGATGATGCTGATGCTGATGCTGATGATGCTGATGCTGATGCTGATGCTGATGCTGATGATGATGCTGATGGTGATGATGATGGTGGTGGTGGTGGTGATGATGATGATGATGATGATGATGATGATGATGATAACGGTGATGAGGAGCTGGACGCATGGTCGAGCTGGGTTTGTGAAGAGGTGGACAATGTTGTTGAAAAGGGAGGGGAGGGTGATACGTAGGAGAGGGATGATACGACGAGGGCTGGGAGGACGAGGACGAGCACGAGGAGGAGGAGGAGGAGGAGGAGGAGGAGGGATGATGGAGATAGAACATCGTGCACTGTCGGTTCTTCCTCATTCCCCTCCGTTCTGCTCCTTCCTGCTACTCCTTCCTCCCCCTCCTGCATCCTCCTGTCTCTTCCTGATCCCTCTGCGCCTTCTCCTTCCCTTGCCGCTCCGCTTTCCCCTCCCCATCAGCAGGATCCCCGTGAAGGCGCCTGTGACGTGTGTCTTCCGCGCGCGTCACACGTGTTTTTTCAACGCTCTGCGCAAGCGGATCGCGAAAACGATGCGCGCGCGCCGCGTTCCGGAGCCGCGTGGCTACAGGTGCCCTCGCACCATTGAGGGGGCGGGGGGAGGACTTGGGAGGGTGGGGGAAGGAGTGGGAGCGGTGGTGGAGTGGGGGAAGGAGTCGGGTGGGGAATCGGTTTTCACGTTTATTTTCGCAGGCCTAGAGGTTGACACCAGCACCAAGATCGGCATTGTGCCTCCACCGAGGGAAGACGATCCCGATCTCGGTGATGGTGGTAATATTCTTGCTTCCAAGGTGACCGAAGTATTACCACCAACACCGAAATCTAGGATCAGCTTCCCCATGTGGGGGCAACCCCCTGTGCTTGTGTTGGTGCCAATTTCCAGGCCTCCAATATTTGCAGCGGTCAAGTTTTAAGGGGCCCTCATTACCTGATCAGTTTTGAGACAAGGACCCCGTATGTAAGCATCACGTTGTTGCACATCATACCATGGTAATGTGCCTCCTTCTCTTACCTCTCCTCCCCTCTCACTGCTGCCGCTCCTTCTTTCAGGCTTTCCCCCTGTCTGCAAGAAGACGCCGACTGCACCGAACGTGGTCACGATTGAGGGCCACGATCAGGGATGGCGAGCGTAACGAGGCAACGACACAGCAGTTCTGGCCTAACGTCTCTATCACCAGGGCCAGCCACCATGCCAATCTCTTCTACGTGGGGGGATGGTGGGAGAGGAAGGGGCGGCGCAGGTGGTGTTGGGTGAGGCCCATGACCCTGGTGGAGTTGTGCCCTCTCCGTCCAGCGGAGCAGGCGAGGGCCCTGGAAAGATCGACCCACCAGAGGGACCTGCACCAAATCTACCCCCCAATGGTTGGCCTCACAGGGAGGGGGATCGCAAACTATCAAGGGGGATATGAGCCGTCGGAGGAATTTATTACACCACCAGGCGATACTCAAAGTACAGGTAGAAGCCGAATTGGGGTTCGATCCCCCGCTTGACACTTTTCTCTCTTTGGGGCAGGTTTTATCCCTCCAGACATGCTTTGTTTCTCCCCCCATTAACTTTTTTGTGCTTGGCCCGGGTGACCTCGGTTACCCTCCCTATCCAGGTCTATAGTTTCACGTTTCACCCACCCGACAAACATGGGTTCACCCACTCGAAGTGGTAAGCTTGGCTTCACTCACCCGCAAGCCGTCTCGCTCACTCCCATCCGCCCTCCCAAAAGTAGCACCTGGGCCGCAGCGGGTTCAGCGGTAGTCTTTCGATGGACAGCTAAATGGGAACCAAACCAGACCCCATGTGCCCGACGCGGGGGCGCGGTGCGCCATGCGTGCCAGGCGCGCCATGCGCGCCAGGTGCGCCAGGCACCCCTATGGCCCAAGCGTGCCGGGACGCCTGGTGCGCCAGATGCGCCACGTGATCCACGTGCTCCACGTGTGCCGCGTGCTCCAGCCGCGCCAGGTGCGCAACGTTCGGGGCCCGCGCAGTGCGTGCCAGGTGCGCCTGCGCACGTGGCAGTACACATCGGGAGACGTGTCGGCCCCCACCACCCTTGTCGAAAGCCGGTGCGCAATCGCGGCGGGGTGGCCATCGTAGCGTCTGGTTGGCCTGCACATAGCAGGCAATATGCCAGCGCTCCCGCCGTCCCAGACAAACCAGAGCACAGAGATCGCGGGGTGCCCGCGCATGATCCAGATTTTGCTTCGAAGGGCATTTTGTATGGTCTTTTGAAAGGGATGCGGGCCTTGCGCGCAGCAGGCAACTTGCGGGCACCTCCGCCGTCCCTGGCAAGAGCGACAGAAGGTTTTCGCGCCTCCCCGATCATGGCCCAAGGGTTTGCCCCAGACTGGACATCACATTGCTGTTAGCTTTTCGGTAGGGATGATGGGGGGGTCTCATTGGTCCTGGTTGGCTGCCAGTCGCCTGGGGGAGGGGGTGTTGATTGATCGGGAACAATGGTACAATGACAAACCCTTACCTCGAGCAGGGGAAGGAGGGATTTCAGCAGAGAGAGGTCGTAAGTTCGTTAAACCACCTACGCCCAGAGGGCTGGTGGGACTAACGTTTCTCAGTGAATTTGGCTTCGAGCGAAGAGGAGGTCCCTCATTGGAGCCGGCCCTCTCGTGGTGAACAGTCGCATTTTCGAGCCCTCTTGGGGCGCTCTCGGGCCGCTCCCGGGGGCTTTCGGGGCCGTCCTGGAGCTCTCGTGGAGCTCCCTTGAGCCATCTTGGAGGCACATGGAGGCCACAGAAGCCCATCGAAAGCGAACACGGCGAGAGTGCACCACATCATTGAAAGGGGTCTTTGGCCTTTGGGGCATCTTTGGGATGCTCCCGAGGCTCGACGTGGATGACGTGGGTCACACGAATGATCAGGACTATGGCAAAGACATGCAGGACACGGATGGGGAGGATGAGGCGGAGCAGGACGGGGAGGACGAGAGAGAGGATGGAGCAGCGGGGGGCAGGGGTGGGGGAGAGGGATGGAGGACACGGAGGAGGATTTTGGAGGCCTTGGAGGTAGATGAGGGCGAGGGGGGGTTGCGGAGAGTGAGGGGGAGGGGAAGGGCAGAAATGCACCAGAACGACGCACTGCGGGTGACTCCGGGGCCGAACGAGGTTGAGCGGGGGCCGAGTGTCAGCGGAGGGGTCGCGGCAGTTTTTTTCGGCTCAGGCCCGCCAACCTCGGACTAGCCATCTGGCTGTTCAGCACACACAGGCACCCAGAGAGAGAAGGAGGATGAGGAGGAGGAGAAGGAGGAGGAGGAGGATGATGATGAGGAGGATGAGGAGGATGATGATGATGAGGAGGAGGAGGAGGAGGAGCAGGAGGAGGATGATGATGAGGAGGAGGAGGGTTGGAGGAGGAGGAGGAGGATGATGTGAAGGAATATGAAAATGACGACGACGAAGGGCGGGCCAAGATGGAGGAGGAGGAGGCGGAGGAGGAGGAGGAGGAGGAGGAGGAGGAGGAGGAGGAGGGGGAGGACAAGGACGAGGACGAGCACGAGGACGAGGAGAACGAGGCTGGCGAGGATGAATCTGTGTTTTGGACCACGCCTCCTGGGCGCGTCCTGTGTGCAATTCTGTCTGCACTCCCAGCCCCTCGCGCAGAGCAGTAGGGCTGCGGTCTCATTCTTGGACTGTATGCTATGCGAGTCACAGGCAGCCCACTGCGGATAAGGACGCCATGCGGTCGTGGCTGCGCCAGTGCTTCTGCCGCTCGGCGCGCCAGCAGCAGCGGTTGGGAGTTCAAACCGAAGAGGAGGAAGCTGGCAGTAATGGGGGTCCCTGATGCGTGGGCATGGCTCGTATCATGCTCCGCCAAGTGCAGCAGTCTGATCTGCCCCCTGGGGCTCACGAGATGCAGCGAGGAGCGTGGCGGGTCATCACGGCCTTGTGAGGACCTCGAGCCGACCAAGGCGGCTATCGGCGCTGGCTTGGCGCAAGATCATCAGGAATCCTGCTCTCGCTTAGGATTCTGCGCAGTTTTCCTGCGTCTCGCGATCATCATGGTGTGCTGCGGAAGTTTAGGGTTTATAACGCTGCTATCGACTGCCGCGTGACCAGCTTTGCTTGACAGGGATGCCGTGGTTTTGAGATATTTGGTGTTTTGCCGAGCGAGCGGCACCTGTGCGCTCGATGATGCAGAGGGCCGATATGGACGAAACCATTGCGGGGGACTCGACGACCCAGGCTAAGTGCGCGGACCAATGGCGGCGATTAGAGTTGCTGGCCATGGAGGGTCAGCGACTGCCTGGCGCTAAAGACGCGTCCTTTGCTTGAAGACGACGGCCCGAGCGTCGGGGGCGCATGTCCGCTCGTTTCTTTTCGCGTGGGGGGCAAGAGCGTTGCCGCTCTGATGAACGATCAGCCTTCGATGCCATGCCGGTGTCCTTCAGCATCGAGGCTGACGGAGGGACCGCCCTTGTTTATTTCCGCCCCGAGGAGGATGACGCTTTCTTGGCACTGGAACTGTTGTTTCCGCCTGCGTCGGCGAGCGCTGCCGTCACTGACAGGGGATGGCGAAGGCGCTCCTGCCCGTCAGTCCCGAGATCCTGGCCGTGGTTGCTTCCCAGCTCTGCCGATCTGTGCCCCCTTCCATCCCCTGATGCTCTATCCCCTTCCCTGTCCCTTCCCTCCTCTCCGCGGAGAAGGAGGAAGAGGAGGAGGAGTAGCAGGAGGAGGAGGAGGAGGAGGAGGAGGAGGAGGAGGAGGCGGAGGAGGAGGAGGAGGAGGCAGAGGAGGCGGAGGCGGCGGCGGCGGAGGAGGAACGGCGGCGGTTGTGGGGTAGCCCCCTCGCATCTGTAAGCTCGGCACCACTTTGGACGTGGGGCACGAATGGCAAAGCCCGCGATTCGGGCGTAGCCCGTGCACGGCCCATGCCGAAAGAATACGAGCGGGGTCCATCAGCAAGCAGTAACGACGCGGACGACCAGGAAGGAGCGGGCGCCGTACAAAGCCAAGGCCAGGCGAACGGCCTACGAACGGGAATCCTGCCCCCGCGGCGCGCCCCCTCCCCCGGCGTCGCCAGCCGCCGCCGCCGCGGCGCCTCTGGCACCCCCGCGCCCGCTGAGACCCCCCAGCGCAGCCGCTCCCCCGCGGCGTCGGTTCAGGCCTCTACGTGCGCCGACTCACTGCCCAACCCCCGGGATCCCAGCTACATCCCCGAGAGACAAGGCCAAGGGCTGCTTTCAACCAGTGGCCTAACGGTGCCGACGGCCTGTGCCTGGACTTCCCCGGCGTCCGCCAGATCGCCCATCAGTGCCTTGCCTCGGGGCTGCTCGCCCTCTCCACAGTCGACGCCTGCCAGGGTGGTGAAGCCGACCTGGTCTTCTTCCTCACCACGTCCTCACCACGAGGTCCAACTCTGACCGCGTGTGGGGCTTCGTGGACATCCCCAACAGAGTCAACGTGGGACTGACGCGGGCTAGGCGGGGCATCGTGATCATCGCCGACGGCCGCATGATGTCCTCCATGGCCGACTCCAAGCTCCTGCTGCTCTCCAACTACGGCCGCCTCGCAGGACTTTCGGTACGTTTCCTCATTCCCCCTGGCCAGA